GCACCACTTCTAACAGATTCAGCGGCACTGTCTTCTGTCTCTCAGCCCTCAGTCTACAAGGCCTTTGGCTTCCAAATAGTCCTAGGAAAGCCCCTCACATCAAGTGTTACCAGCCAGCTCCAGCCTCAAGGCAGCTTCACTGTTACCAACAGGGAAGAATTGGGATCTCTGAAAACAGCTGTCAATTTGCATTGCCAGAACTGTCTAGGTAAGAGAGGGCTACAAAATATGTGAATTCTAAAGGAGACTATTTTCTGAAGAATACAGAGGCTTTGGTCCACCCAGTCAGTTGCAAGCCAAGTTTTAGGGTCGACACATTTCAGTTACATGTCAGAAAACTGTACACTAAAGGAAAACAATCACAAGTTCATGAAATTTGTGAGACAGAATGTTTGAAAGGGCTGTTTTCTAAAGGGTGAGCTGACTGTTCACAGATGAGAAATGAGCAGAGAAACTACTGAAGAGATGGCAATGAAATTTTAGATCCAGGGTGCCCACGTGCATTTCAAACCTCCCCTGGCTCTGGATCTGGGCCCTTCTTGGGAAGGAAAGGAGGGAGCAATGGGGGAGGGGGATCCAGCTGCCAAGCCACAGGGTACAAGCAGAGAGCAGGCAGGCAGCAACAAGCCTTTCATTCACTCAGTTATTTATTCATTCAGTCATTCCTTCTCCCCACAGGAAAGGTCCTCAGGGGAACGTACTCATAGGCAAAGGCACAGTGTCTCTTTCTAGTCCTGGGGTTTTTTCAAATAAATTCAGGCCACAAGGAAAGGCCATGATGGAAGCCACTGGCCTTGACACCACTTTCCAAGTCCACAGCGGGGAAGCCCTTTGCCAGAGTCTAAAGTGCCTCTGGCCACACTGTCTGGACCTGGATGCTCCACAGATGTCACTGCTAACTCTCACACCTCTTTCAAGGTTTGAGCCAATATCAGCTTGTGAGAACAAGGCCTATCCTGAGAAACCTATCTAAAATTCCAACATTTCTTTCTCCCAATCTATCTTACCTTGCTCTAACTTTCCTCTTTTCTTCCCACATACTTTATCATTATTTCAAATGGTTATTGTCTCCCTCCCTCAACTAGAATGTAATATCTCTGAAGAACTGGGATCTTTATTTCCTTCACCAAAAATATAAAGTGCCTAGAACTGTACCTGATAGTAAGTATTCAATATAGATTATCACATAAATTCAAAATTCAAAATTACTTTTACAAATTATTTCATAGCAGTGAGATTCAGGCATTTCATATGTCTGGGGCATGACCTTCAGTGCTAACTTTAGTGCTATTGGTGTTTCTAAGATTCCTGGTAACCGGTTTAACTATCTAGGATGTTCATGCTAAGAGTTTCTACAAACTCAAGTATCTACTTACAATGAGAAGCAAACAATCACCGACCAGCTTTTCCCGTCTCCAGGAAACAGCGCCAGGGCTATGAATTGATAGCAAAGCTGGTGGAGAAGCACTTCACAGTTGCAGGGCTGTGGGATTTCTAGGCAACTTAAGTGGGGTGTGGGGGAGGGTTTCAGTTGGGATACTTGGGTTGTTCATTGAGACAGTTGCTCCAGTACTGAATCAGCAGTGAGATGTAAGGGAAAAAAAAATAGGATCATGAGTACAGCACTCTTCCAAGAAGAAAAATAGATAAAAAAGGATGGTCTCCAAAGCCCCCAATCCGTGTTCCTTATGGGAAGAGAAAAACAGTTAAAAACAATGTGCTGGGATATAGCTCAGGTGCTAGAGTTCATGTTTGTCTATGTGAGAGCTTAGGTACAATCCCCAGAACCACAAAAATAAGCAAAGGAAAAACCTACAAGAGCTATGTGTATACGCGTAAGATTGCAATGACAACTAYTCACAACTTAATACACTTAATAGATTTGGATTAAACATGATAGTTATAATGAAAACTATAGGTCTTGGGGAAAAAAATCTATTAAGTGAGACACATGCCAGAGTACCCATAAACCTTCATTTCATGATTGCTTAAGGGTTCTGACTAGTGGCTAAATAGTAGTAACCCAGAAAATCCTGAAGATGAAACTATTACCTAAATAATAAGACCTTTGAATAAAAGCAGATTAACATATATCTCTTAGTTGTCTCTTAATGAATCCTTTTAATGTAGCTACTGGCTAACAAAGACATGAAATCAGTAAATAAATTATTAATAAAATAACTAATTATTTCCAATGAAATCAGTAAATCAATTATTAATAAAGTAACTAATTATTTCCAAAAATGTATAGATGGAATCACAAACAATAAATAGCATAGAAAAATAAGTGAATATACCTTTCACAGAGTACCTTATATATTTTCACTTGTATCTTCATCAAAAGCATATTTATAAGTATATTTATATAATGCTACCTACTAATCAGGATGTTTTTATTCTTCACAAAATTAATTCCTACTTCTTTCTGTATACAGGGCTGCCTTTGAGAATCATGGCCTTCTTCTCAGCAGAAGTACACAACAATTTATATGACTCTGTTTAATCTGGGAATTTCAAGCATTTGTTAATTTTAACATTTTCTTTTCATAAAGTTTGATGGTTCAAACTATTTCCAAAGTATGGTAATTGTTAGGCAATTGCCACACAATTTGCCTAAGTCATAACCATTATTATAAACATAATTTTCCAATATTTTCATCATTAAAAGATAAACAGTAGTCCTTTGAGAGTGAGATACCATTATGTAAAAGTTGAGTTTTAGGAAATTTATGAATCTTTAACGGTCTTAAAAAATGTTTGCACAATATTGAGACAATTTCTGCAAACATAAAAAAATCTTTTATAATTTGCCCACAATTAAGTCTTAAAACCTCTGATTACAAACTAAATCCTCAAGAGAGATAATTGTCTTTAACACATTTTAATAATTTATATTTTCTTTTAATCAGTCCAACTAGACCAGCAATTATTATTGGGTAAAATTATTACTCAGCTTACACAAATTCTCTTTTATCCTAATACAACTGTTAATGAGAATGGGCGGGGCAGGCAAAGACAGTTTTCCACAGATCAGGAGATATTATTTACTTATATTATTTACACATATTTATATAATTCAAATTTATAGTATTTATATTTATTGTTTTCCATCTATTATTGGGAATAAGAGAAGGTATGGGAACTAACAAAATTTCGACTGAAGCTTTGAATTATGGGAGTTTTAACTTTATTTTAAGCCAACCATCATGAAAAACCTGATTTATATTCTCAAGCACATTCACTTAGGACTATCCAATCATGATATGAATCAGCAAATTTGTTACTCCATTCAACTGCTTTTAAGACTCCCAAAACTAGAGAGTCTAGTTCTTCAGCGATGCTTTTATTAAAAAGAGATGGAAGAAGCTATGGCACGAATGTTTTGGAACTTGGAAAGTTTCAAAACCTGGACAATTACTCATCAGAATTACCTGTTCATTTTGTGAACATGTTCCATGATTATTTCCCATTTTGGATAGCCCATTAAAACCCATTCCAAACAAGCATTCAGTGCTTATTAAGAACCCACTGTGTGCAAAGAGCATTATAGGAAAGGAGCAGAAGGCTCTGCCTCATTTTATTCATGCATAAATACACAGCAGTCGTGATTTATTCTCTCAACTTTGTAGAAACGTGAGCTGCATCCACATGGCTGAATCCATGGCATTCACTTGGGCTTCCTGGGGCAATTTGCAGGTCCTCTGGATTACAGAGCCCGCTGAGGCATCACGCGCCCCCTTCACCTTCCTGCCCACACAGGACAACTTGCGGACGCTGGACACACCTTCCGCAGGTGGCTAGATCACCAGAGCAAGAAGAACCCGACCCATCTCCCTTCATAGGGGCTCGGGATAGAAGTGTGGAAATGTGTGCAAGGACTTCTGAGAATCAGAGGACTTGTTGAAAGGTCCCTGGGTCCTGGGCGTTAAGGCAAACCCGCCGCCCCGCGGGGCGTTCCCGTCCCCGCTTCCCCTGCGTCCCCGGCGCCCGGGCAATGCGCAGGCCGCCGCGGATCCCTGGGCGCAGCCAGCGCACCTCGGGCCTAGAACCATTTGAAATGCAAATCGTAGAGCCAGGGCGCATTTAAATGCCCGGCTGCCGGCCCCGGGGACTGCTGTACAGCGGACGCAGTCGTAAGGGCCTCGGGGGCGCCCGGGCCCCTGGGTGTTGGGCGCGGCCCGCGGGCGCACCCGGAACCTCAGCCCGTAGCGCCCCGGCGTCCGCGCCAGGCCGGTGCAGGAGAGGGCGCCCAGGGCCCCGGGGCCCGCGTTTCCCCGGCCCGCTCTGCCGCCACCCGGGAAGAGGGCGAGCGCCGGGTCCTCCGCCAGCCCGTGGCCGCCGGCCCCGGCCCCCTCCCGACGCACCACACCTAGCAACCGGCGCTGACAGGACGCAGTGGCGGCGGCGGTGGGAGGAGGAAGCGGAATGGCTGCCGCGGTGGAGCCACCCCCACCCCCCCTCCCACCTCCCAGCGGCTGCAGCCGCCGCCGAGCCCTGACAGCTCGAGCCGGGGCGGAAGCGGCAGGCGGCGTGCAGCGCCCGCCCCCCGCACCCCCGACACCCCGGGCCGCTCGGACCACCCGGGCCAACTAACTCCGCGCGCCTGCCCAGCGCCTGCCGCCTGCCTGCCCGCCGCGCCCTGCGCCCCCTCCCCCGGCGCCCGGCCCCGCCGCCGCATCCCCGCCGCCCCGCCGCGGCGCACCCCCACTCCCACCACTTCGCAGCCCGCGTGCACGCCCCTCGGAGTCCCCCGGCCGGCCCGCTGCACCTCGGGGCGCCCGCCCCCTCCCCCACCAGAGCCTGCTCCCCGCCCCCCTCCCCCGCACCTAGCGCCTCTGCATCCCGCCACCCCCAGCCCCGGGACTCGCACACACCCTCCCCGCCCTGCCGCCGCCTCCCTCCCTCTCTGCCTCCCGGCCACCCCTGGCCATTCTGGGGCTTGTCGCCTGGGCAAGAGTTTCCGCGCGCCCGGCACCCCCGCCCACCCCCGGGTCATTTACCGATGTGGTTGTCCTCGATGTGCTCGATGAGGTCTGCCAGGGTGGGGAAGTGGAGTCCGCAGCCCCCGAATCGGCAGGTATTGGAGAAGAAGGAGGCGGCGGCGATGCCTGTCATGGTGCTACATCGAGAGCCCCCCTGGTGTCGGCTCTGCGAGCGCCGGGCGGGCGGAGGGAGGGAGGGAGGCCGGGTGGGGTGAGGAGAGGAGGGGCTGGGGGAGGGGGGGAGAGGCGGGGTGAGGGGAGAGGAGAGGACGGGACGGAGGGAGAGGGGGCGAGAGAGATGGAAGGAGAGCGAGGAGCCACCGGGAGGCAGAGGGGAGGCGGCAGCGGCGGCGGCGTCGGGAGCGGCGCGGGGAGGGTGGGGGTGGGGGAGGCCGCCGCAGCTGGGAGGAGGGACCAGGGCGCACGGCTACAGCTGTGCGGTCCCAACCTTCCGCTCCCGGACCGAGGCCTCACCTGGCTGCGCCTGCCACCAACTTTTATCTCCCTAGGCCTGCCCTTCACAGTCTGTCATACATGCAATCTGTTTGGAGCCTCTTCGGGTTATGTATATTACATGCTTAATAGATCCATACCTATTAATTACACATACTTCCCTGCCATAAGCACCCAGGGAGTTACCAGGCCCCTGTCATGGACATTTGTTTGCACTTGGCCACCTGTCTGGGTGTGACACTGACATTCTCAGGAGACCCAGGAAAGGTAATTGTGTGCACCTTATTCTTTAAACCTCAAAAAAAAAAAAAAAAAAAAAAAAGTCCATATTCTCTAGAGGTTTGTACTAATTGATTTTAATGAAGCTTCCCCCTAGGCCAGAAGAAATTCTTAGCTTTATTTAAATTTCAAAATAGAGTGCTTGGTTGTCAAGTGCATTTGCCTGGGTTTTACAAGTGTACCACGTTTGTCCTATTCCTTTCTCCTTTAGGGAAAACAAAACCCCAAATAATTTTATTACCCCAAAATACAGTATACCACACACCCACTCACTACCTGTCTCAGATCTGGTGATTAAACCATCTCTGTTTCTGCCCCCGAAGAAAGGACAGTGTATTGGTTAAGGCTAAAAGTGGCAATTGAGGCAAGGGACATATTTATTCCTCAATGAAAAGTAAAATTTCACGAATCAATCAAGATTATGCCATCCCATGAGCATTTAAACCATAACATTGACCAGTTAAGCCCTTTAAGTTGAATTTTGCAGTTTCTCTGAAAAGCCAGCATTTTGCTAAGAATCAATTACCTTGTCCCCACCCCTACTACACCCCCAGTTGCAGTAACATTTTTACCTGTACAGTGAGTGCTTCACCAGTAGCACTTTTCCACCTAAGGAACATTGTGCATTATCAGCAATTTAATATCCAAAACTGCAGTTTATCAATATATGCATCCAGAATTTAGCATTTTTCCTTAGGACAAATTTCATTTACCTTCTGGTGCAGATACATACAGAAGTAGTATTCCCCCTTCCATAAACTGTATGCAACTCTAGTGGTATTTCTAATAATAGAATTGCTAAGGCCTTTTATGTAAGTGTATGTAGTATTTCTGTCACTGCAAAAGTTTTACAATCTGTCTGTCACAGAAATTGAAGCTGAGTTCCCTCACCATGGCATTTCCTCTTCTGGCCCTTCACAACTATCTTCCAGCTCACAAGGTGATGCACTTACTAAGATGAGAGCTGGATTGGGTGGGGCTGGGGCAGTGTGCTGTTCAAGTTCATTTTGGTGCCAAGAATGGTTTCCTGGACCCAAGTGAGAGTGGGGGCAGGGCTTGGGTGGGCCTGATAATGAGCCAGGGACCCTGTTGGCAGGAGATTGGGGCCAAGGCCAGACAAGGGTGTAAAGAACAGGAATTAGAATTCTAGATCTTGAATTAGAATTTTGGCAGCTGTGTAGTACATTCAGCTGCCCAGTTTGGGAAGGCCTTCAGCTGAGAGCAGGCAGAATATCTGGCAGACACAGACTATACTGAGTGGCATGGAATGCAATGCAAAGATGTTAGCCAAAAATGGTGCCAAAGCAGCCTCCCCTAGAGATGAGTGATAGGCCTCCTTCCCACTCTGCAGCATCTGGGGAACATCCAGAGTTTTGAAGAAGTGGCAACTCTGCCTTCTGGAAGAAAAAAACTGTCTATATGACAACTTTATATCCAGAAAGAATGTGGCGAAACATAGAGGTGGTTCAGGCAAGGGAGCTTAGAGATGGAAAGTGCTGGAAATGTGTAGGTTAAAGAATGAAGGAAGGGGCCTGAGTTTCACTAATGCCTAGCTCTCCACTATCTCTGATCTCCAGTACTTCCTATCATGAGGTTCTATTCCTAAAATGAAAGTTTAGTAAGCCAAGTTCAACAATTTCACTTAACAAAGTGAATCAAGATTTTGATTTTTAAGACCTGAAATTATTTTCTTGACATTAGGAAAATATAGTTTGTAAGGAATCAATTTATTTTTCCGGAAATAAGCAATCCTACTAATTTTCGTACATGAATGGAGCTTTGCTTATATGGCATTTTGCTCATATTATTATTATTATTAATAGTAGTGTGATCTGCACACTCTGTTTTGAGCCCTCTTATGAGATATATGATCATGATCTTTTAAATCTGGAAGATATTCATGCCTTTGGAGCCCCTGATTTTGTATATGTGGTAAACTGAGGCCAGAGGCAGCATCAAGTTCTTCCTCACRGTGCATTCTGTAAGACTTTAATATAGACAGTAAAAGGACCAAGATAGAGTAACCACAGGCAAACTTTCAAAAAATTGCTTTATAATGACATGCTTACCTTTGTGTACTTACATTTAAAAATGTTTGTTTCAAAGGTGTCCCTTTAGATAAAGTCAACATCTAGGCTATAAAAATATGTAAAACAAATATTCAACCTGTTACTTCCAAGAGAAAGTGATGACTGATGTATCTCTGTGCTTGGAAAAACATTATGTCTTATTTGGGGAGTAAAAATATCTCAAAGGAAAGGGCAGTGAGGAGTCAGAAAGATATGATAGCCATAGAGTAGAAGCATTCACTGGATTTAAGACCCTTTTCCTTGGAAACCTTGCCTCTCCCTGGAGAATTGCGCCTCCTGCTGTGTAGGCCCAGAGAAAGTATGGATGTCTAGTGGTACCATAAAATGCTACTTAGCATTATAGGTGATTTGGAATCCAAGGTCATTCTCCCCAAATCTAGCATGGCCAGAGCCTGTGCTCATTATGGGGCAGCTGCTGGGAGGACCAATTTGGTGGTCTAATGAAGCCAACTGAAGCCACCAAAAGATTCTGCTTTATGTAGCTGTCTATCCTCCACATATGGATTCCATCAATTTCAGGATACACTGATGATCAAAACTATGCACTTGTGGGCTGGGGTTGTGGCTCAGTGCTAGAGTGCTTGCCTAGCACCTGTAAGGCACTGAATTCAATCCTCAATACCACATGAAAATAAATAAATAAAGGTATTGGGTCCATCTATAACTAAAAATATTTTTTAAAAAAACAACAAAAAGACTGCACTTTCTGTGTCCTGTGTGATCATCTGTTAGTGTGACTAGAGGATCTGAATGAACATTGGATTCTATTTTGAATCTAACTCTCTGCACTGCCTTCCGTTGTAGATTTCTGTGATTTTGTAGGTTTTTCCCAAGTCTCTCTTAAGGTCTTTTCAGGTTTACTAGCTATAAACATTCTTCTAAGTGGTTTGGGTCCTTCCTTTTACTACTGCCATTGTGTAGAATGAGCAGATCATAAGCCTAAGTCTTCTCCAGCTCATGAGGTATGTGACCACCTATAACAACGTATGACTCTCCCCATCTCTTGAAGACCAGGCTGTCACTTCCTCTGATAGCAACTTTTGCCTCAGGGATATTTCCTTTAGACCCCACCTTATTCCAAAGAGGACAATGTCTATTCCAGATTTTCCTGTTTAATATCCTGCAATCAAGTCCTCAAGGTCTTGGTATTGATTTTATTCCAGCTCAAAAATGAATCAGCTTCACCTGTACTTTGGTGATGAATTCTCATTTTGTCCCCCAGCCTTATTTTGTCTAGGATTGGGGATTGACTTTAGAATGAGTAATGGAAGTTCTTTTGTGGGTCACGACAAGTGAACAGTAAGCATTATTCTTTGGCTCTCTACCTGTTTGCTGCCACCCTACTGATAACAAACACACACAGACATGCACACACCTGCATGCACACACACACAATGATTGCATTCGTTTCTAGTTTCTTGCAGGATTTCTTCAGAATTAAATTTGCAAACTACACAGCTAATGACCACGGTTCTAATTGAATATTCTGGGCACAGTACTCTCTCTGCTGCCATGTGACCCAATGCCACCCACATATTAACTCCAAATCTGACCAGAACCACTACCTGTCAAGCCAGCCCAGCCTGAAGTTTAAAAAAAGGTTCATAAGAGCAGCCAAGCAACTGCTGTTTCATTCGTTCCTTTAACAAACCTTGGTTGCACCTCTAGGCAAGGCTCCTATTGCACAACTACAGCAGACTTTATTAATGTAGACAGTTGCAGGAACTGTGAGCCCAGGATTTGTGCAACCCAGCAGTCCTCATCCACTGTGCAAGACACAAGGGCTTCAATTTGGATATGACATGTATGTACAATGAAATGGAGTCAGTAAAGCACCAATGTTATGAAAGTCTGCACAACCTTTTTGCCCAAAGGAATGTCCATAGATATTCCTGATGCTCACCTAGCAGTGTAGTGTAGAGGACTTCTATCCTTCCAAAGACTGCTACCACCTTTTGTGTCTTGGCTTTCTGAGATTTCACCATCTCCCACTATTGCAATCCACTTCCTCCAGGACTCAGACAAGTGTTAATGGAGGAGGAGCTAGAAGATCAAAATGGGCACAGTGCTCCATGATCTCATCTGCCTTGCTTGAATCGCTTAAGGGTAACTTTGATTTTCAGAATAATCTTCCTCCTCTCCAGTGGCCTTCAAAATTTGGTTTAGGTAGAAGCCCCCAAGCCTTAGGGAGAAGCCTCCCAGCCTGCAGTTTCCCCACCTGTTGACAGATTAAGATGGAAAGAGCAATTTTAGTTTTCAAAGGGTACTCACTTTCCCATGCACAGACCACCTTGCCCTTGACTGTGCTGTAGAGCCTACCAGGAACATTCTTCATAACTCTTACCCTTTGGCTCCACCAAACTCATTTCAGCAACTCAGCGGGTCACCTCCTCCAGGAGCCCTCCCTATATCCTGCCTGCTCTTCCTTCCCTGCTGAGCTGGATGCTGCTCATCTATGTCCCAGGCAAGTTCTCTCTTCCTTCGATTTTGATTGTGGGCTTACTGGTCTTTCTTCTCCTTTAGACCAGTGCTTCCCAAATCTTT